GGACATACTGAAATAAAGAGAGATTATTTTATATCTGCATTTATTCCTCCATTAGAAATTATATCAATTATATTCCTCTGTGCCAAGGACTGAGAGAAGCATTAGACATTTAAAAATAAATATGATACTATAGTCTGTGACCTCAAGGAGTCACAAATGAGTGAATGATCCACGCTGCCTGTTGTTATCATATAATGGGAATATTTGTGTCGAGACTTTGAAGGCTAAGTATCAGTTTATCCCAAGATAGAGAGGTGAAGAGATATAGTGATCCTGCAGATTAACTTTGTACCCAGAATACATCAAAATAGAGTATATAAAAAGTAGGTTATCTGTTTAAGTATCTTATCTGTTTATTTTATAAACAGATATCTTACTTCTCTTATAAGTATACTTATCTGTTTAAGTATGGATTACAAGCATAACTAAGCATTGCCTGAGAAGATGTGGATCCTGGAGGACAGTAACTGTATTTTTACTCACCCATTCTTTATTTTTTGTCCTCCCAACAGGCATGTATTCTATTCTCCTCCTACACCTAAACTTTCCTTCATGCCTTAAAAAGATGTCATTCATCAAAAGAAAGGCACATTTTGTACAAATTAATAATAATAAAATTCTGGCTTAGAACAATCATATTATTTGAAAAATTAATATAACTCAGAAGAGTTCTATATGCCAAAGGCATGACTAACTACATAGTCAGGTACACAGTTGTGCATTCATTTTGTACTTAAGAAGTGCACAGTGACATTACTTGAATGCTGAGTAGTTTGTATTTTCCTTCCTTTCTATTGACATTGTTAAACATTGCTATGATTTTGAAATTATTAGTTCTTTTCCTATTAAAATTTTTCTTGGACTTGACTGTAACCTTTAAAAAACACTATGTTCAATCAGATATTCAAAGAGGAGTGTGTCAAGCCCTTTGGAAGATATTTTAACTATTTCTGATTAAACACACTCAGGAATTCAGTACTATTCTACAAAATACATTAACTTTTAACCCAGCTGATCCCTCCATCCATGTACCAAATATATTTTAATGAGAAGAAAATTGGTAAAGCGCTTCCCAAAAGCATGCGGCATATATAATCTGAGCATGTATCTGGCAGATAAATTGCCTTCACTATTACTTGGGAAATGAAAAATCAGGTTGTCAAATGGCCAGGAGCCACGTAAGGAGTATGTACTGAGCACCTACCAAGGACAAGATGCACTTTAGGATAGATGAACATGGTTTCCTTACTTAAGGAATTGCCCAGCTAGTGGAACAGAGAAAGAAGGCAAGTGGTTATATGAAAGAGGCATGTGGTAGGAGGCATCAGAAATGAAGCACAGTGGGATTCCAGAAGGAAGAGATGGCATTCAGGTGCAGAGCCAAAGGGAACACGTGAGCTGGTTCTTGAAGGAAAGGTGGGATTTTAATAAATAAGGGACTTTGTCTTGTTCACACATGATGATATCCTTGAGAATGTCCATTGTGGTACACTGCAGGGTGCAAGGGCAGAAGCAAGGACATCAGCAAGGAGTCTATTCCAACTACCCAGGCAGAATCTGATGGGAGCTTGGATCTGAGGGCTGTACGTAAAGGGAGAAGTGGTTGGATTCTGGATACATTTGGAAGATAGGTAGGGCTGTAGGATTTGTTGATGGACGGAAAGTAAGATGTGAGAGAAAGGGGGGAGTTAAGGTGTGGGGCTCAACCAACTGAAAGAGCAGAGTTGCCACTGTGGAGATGGGAAGAAGAGGAGTTTGCTTCTGGAGGTGTTCAATGTGGTGTGCCCATTGGGCATCTAAGTGGAGAAGGTGGTTGTCCAAGCCTGGAGCTCAGAGCACAAGTTCTGGCTGGAGGCTCAAAACTTGGAGTTATCAGGATCTAGAGTATTCAAGGAGTTCACTTGGAGTTATTCTAGAGAAGAGGCCCATCAGTGGAGCCCTGGGCCCTCCAATACCTAGAGGTGAGGTGTGGTGGACACAGGAATTGCCAGTGAGCTGAGAGGGGAAGAAAGAGAGCCAAGCTGAGGAAGTGTGTCAAGAAAAGAGAATAGTGTCTAGACATATGCCTCAGACAGATCAGCTAAGCCATGAGCCTTGATTTTAATGCATAGCCTGCTCAATACCAATCGTGTCTATACTACCCATTAGTGTCCAAAGTATTCTCTCCTCGTCCCATCTCCTCAAGTGAAAGACGCTGTCTTTTTCCACAGGTTCCCTGTATAAACATGCTAGACTCCCACATGGGAGGCCCACGTGTATCTTCAACTGGGTCCTGGTCCTCTCAGAAATCCATGGGCAGAACAAAAACTCAGAGGCACTGCTGGGGCTGGAATCCCAGCTATAGGCCCCAGCGCAAGAACCATCTTCCAAGAGCTATAAAGGCAGAGCAGTCTCTCTTCAAGTCACAGAGAAAAGGTGTGTCCTCTTTCTGGGTTATGCTCAGATGAGCAAAGCAACCTGGCTCCTAGAGCTCTGTAGGGAAACCCTTCTTTTACTTCTGTTTCTCCCTCTGTCTCAGTCTCTGTCCGTATCTCTTTTACACACACACACACACACACGGACTGTTTTTTCAAGGTTTACCTCAGTACCAGGACCCCAAAAGAACATGGAGGCCTCCATTTTGAGCAGAGCCCACCCCCTCCCCCATTATTCACTCTGCAGGCTTTCCTCCTGTCCTCCAGGCCATCAGACAATGATTATTGAATGGGGGGGGGGAGAACAGTGGGGAGGGAAGCTTCGTTCAAATCCCCAGTCTCCCTAAGGGGGTCTCCTTAGCCACCGTGTAAATTAGTGGCACAGAATGGGGCAGGGAAGAGGTGCTGGCCAGCTTTACCTTCACCAGCCTCAGATCCCCAAATGCAAAAAAAAAAAAAAAAAAATTATGCTAGGGGCTTAGTGGCCTTGACAGCAATATCTAAGCCCTGGCTGAAATGTTCTATTACCAGAATCTGCAGCATATGTTTTATCTTTTCAAATAAGGTCAAAACTTCCCTACCTCCCTCTCCTTAACACATCCACCAAGAAAGAACATTGAAAACAGAATGAAAATATCTCATATGAAAAACTTAAGATACTGTCCTTGATGATGACGAGCTCCCTCTTCATAGCATACAAGAATGACTGAATTCCAAACCAAAGAAATTTGAGAGCAAAATTAATATTTTACAGCAACTAGCATTTTATTTGCAGCATCGGCAAAACCAAGTGTCCACCTGTGACTAATTTCTTATGAATACAAAGTCCACTGTGCTTCTGGGAAGGATGGTTAGTGTTTGTCAAGTTTTTTGTGTGAAGATACAAAAATATAACTAAAAAGTTCATCAGAGGGCCAAAAGTGGGAACAAGAATCAAAAATCAAAAGCATGTTGATTATTTCAAATACCCGAGTACCAGAAAGCTCCTACAGTCCCAATTCCTGGTCTTATAAATGCAATTATCATGCAAGTGACTATAATAAAAATTGATGACTTTTGTATACATACAGAGTTTATTACATGCACTCTAAAAACAGAACGTGTATGATTTAAATCTAAAACAGTGATTTTGCAGGAATGGTCTATTAGGTCCTCCAGCTGGTCCACAAATCTCTTATTTGTTTCTGGTATGACTAAAATTTGCTTATGCTTTCTTCAGAAGAGGGGCCAGTTCTTCCCATAACTTTTCTATCACCAACCATGAACAGGGGATGTTTAGGGTCTTTTAATTCCTTAAAAAAAAATTGACAGACTGAAAAAGTTTCCTACCATTGCTCTAAAGTATCTTAATGAAAAAAATATATACCAATCTGAAATCACAATTTTTTGTTCCAACAAATCCAACATTCTTCTGCGATCTGTGGTAGCAAACAGGAGCTGACATACAGCCTAATTTAGCTATTATGACAACTAGCAGCAGCTCAAGCACTAAGTCACCTCAATAACCCAGTGCTATTCTGCCTCAATTATCTATGGCTTCAATTAAAAGTGTGTAGAGGGGGTTTTCATCTTGAATTTGTTCAAAATATGTGGCTTAATTTTCAATTTCAAATAGGTCTTCAGTAAGCTCACAGGTCACCAAAATACAGTACCAGAAGTTAGACATTTGAACTCTTTTATTAAAATATTTGCACATAAAAATTTCTTGCTCTCATGATACAAAACTGTACAAAATGTACCAACAACAGACATCATTATAAAGGAACCCTCAAATCAATGGGACCTAATCTTGAGCACGAAGTGAAGGAGAAATAGGAAGAATTATTTGAGAGACAACTTTATCATGGCATATCAATAACCCAGCTATCAAAATGTATTAAGCCTTTGCACAAGGGTGTCAAAATCAAATCTCATCCTCAAGGAATCCTTGGAACGGAGGAAGGATGATGGAAACACAGTTGTAGGACACAATCTATATCATCCTGTAGTTGATTCTGTTATTCTTATGGCTAGCTCTGTTTAAGATTGTATAAGGGGTCTTCACACCCGATGGTTAGCATGGTTGATGGATGCAGTTCTACCTGCCGCCGAAAGAACTTCCAAAGAGTTGAAGCCCGGCTCACGAGGAGATGTGATTCTGACACCTTTGCATTTGCTGCAGTGTGTACGTGGGCCCCACACACAAGGCAGATCTCATTGGATTAACGCTGAACTCACGACATCTCCACAAACTCTAGCAGAGAGTAAGTATGCTATCTGCAAGGCTCCCTAACAAACCTGTTTCTTTCATCCACCCTCCTCACTCGCCCCGTAGGTACTATTAGGGAAGCGTCCCCTCCTTACCTCTAGGGATTCCTCTGCACCCAGAGAAAGGGGCTCCCCTTTCTCTCTCCCCATTCCCAACTGTTTGGCTTCCCGGGGAAGCCCCAGCTACTCAGCTCACCCCCGGGATGCGAATCCTAGGAGACCTTATGATTGACTTCAAAGGGAGCCTCGTCTAGGCTGGAGGCTCAGGCCCCCCGCCCGCCCCTGGCGTCTCAGAGGCCCTCTCCCCGCGTGGCCCTCTGCCTGGCCCCTCGAACTCACCAGGAGGAGGTTGTGCGCCACCAGGTACCCTAGCCGCGGGCTGCCCCGGACGCCCGGGGCCAGGCGCCCGGTGGCGTAGCCGTGCCAGGCCACCACGTAGGGGTTGTCGATGGTGATCCAGTACTTGACCTGGCCGCCGAAGTGGCGGAAGCAGAGCTCGGCGTAATCCCTGAAGTGGTCGGCCAGGGCGCGGTTGGCCCAGCCGCCGTAGGCGTCCTGCAGGCGCTGGGGCAGGTCCCAGTGGTACAGGGTGACCACGGGCTGCACGCCCAGCTCCCGCAGCCGCTCCAGCAGGCGCCGGTAGTAACGCAGCCCCTCGCGGTTGGGGGCGCCCGCGCTGCCATTGGGGAGCACCCGCGCCCACGAGATGGAGAAGCGGTAGTGGGTGACCCCGAGCTCGCGCAGCCCCTCCGTGTCGCGGAAGACGTTGTTGTAGCCGTCGCTGGCCACGTCCCCGGTAGCGGGCGGGGACGGAGACCGGGCGCCCGACGGCAGGCCGGCTACCGGGGAGTCTCCCGGGGGCGCCGGCGGGTGGTGGGTGAACGTGTCCCAGATGGATGCGCCCTTGCCGTGCTGCCGCCAGCCGCCCTCCGTCTGGTAGGCGGCGCTGCCCACGGCCCAGAGGAAGCCGTCGGGGAAGGTGTCGTGGAGGAGGCCGGCGGCCTCGGGGGCCGGAGGCTGCGCGAAGCGGGCCCAGATCTGCGCCCCGTCGCCGGGCTCGGCGTGCAGGCGGCGGCCACCCAGGGCCAGCAGCAGCAGCAGCGGCAGCGGCGGCGGCGGCCGCGGGCGGCGCGGCGGGGCGCGGGCGGGCATGCTGCGAGCGAGCCGGGCGCTGGGGCGCCGCGCCGCACCCCTATATGCCGGCGCCCCGCCGCGCCGCCCGCCCCTGCCGGCGCGCCCACCCCCGCTTCCCCGCCGGGCCCCGCTGGCAATAATTACCTGTGAGGCGGCGCTTCCCCACCCTGGGGGGGGGGCGGGGGCGCAAAGGGCGAGCGCGTGCCGGGGAGGGGGCGCGGCAGCGGGCGAGGCGCAGCGGGCGCCACTCCGGGACGTCGGAGAAAAGGCACCTGTTCCTCGCGGCTCCCCGGAGCCGCAGAGGAGGCTCGGCGCCGCGGGTTCTCTCGGCGCCGCCTTCTCGTTCCCCTCCGCGCGCACCCCTGGGAGAAGCCATCGAGCCGGCGTTCGTCGAGGAGGGAAGGCGGCCCACCAACTTTCCCCGAGTTCGCGCGGGTTACTTGCCTGCCCTCTCGGAGTCCGCCAGCGGAGAAGCACCTGCTTTCTCCTTGCTCCCATTCGGAGGCCGAGAACAGTTGCAGACTGACATTGCTAGAACCGATTAGGAATTGGCCGAGATCGTATCGGGAGGGCGGCGGCGGGGGGGGGGGGGAGTCAGGTGGGAACTTGGAATGTGGTGAGAGAGCGACTCGTGGCCCACTTTCCCTTAGAGTCTTTAGGTAAGATGCTCTCGCGGAGAGCCATCCCACTGGCGCACGGACAGATGGTCCGTCCCGCAGGCCCCAGTCTAGAAAGCCTGCAAGGAAGACAAAGCAGATGCTTGGGTTGCCTTGACACTTTGCTTGACTCTCCCTCATACAGTGACCTTTTAACCATTTCAAGTCAGTGCTTGTTCTTAAGTTACATCCTGCAGAATTACTTGCCCACGGCCCAGAGGAAGGGGAAGGTGGCGTGTTCATGTCATGACAGCTCTGATTGTTCTTATTAAAAAAACAAAAACCAAAACACTTTTTAAAGAAACAAAAAACAAAGTACCAAGGTTTCCACTTTGAATAACTGTCATTTACCTTTTTTTTAATCCTTTTTGCATCTGTTTTATGAATAATCACCTTGTAGCTTTCAGCTCTGAACTTAGCAGTAACTTCTCTGTGCCAAGTTGTGCCCGCAGCTGTGCTTGAGGCCAAGGTCCCTGGGTCCCACAGATGCCACCTGAGCTGAGAAGGGAAAGGGGTGGAGGGGTGGAGCCCAAACAACCACTCCCGCCCACTACAACAAAAGAGATTCCTGAGGTTTCTTCCAGTTGCCAGAGAGCTTTTTGACAGAAGTTGTGGAGGCACAGTCTCCATTTGAAGGTGTATATAGACGGTCTATGAATAACTAATGTACATCTGGTGGGGCGTGGACAGCCTGGGCCCCACCTTTGTGAAACCATCTCTTCTCCAAGCTTTAGGAATCTCATCTTACAATGCAGGTGGCCACGTCTGCCCTGTCACCTGAGAGGCCTGCGAAATGCAAATGTAAAAATGTGCGCACAGATGACTCAATCATGGAAAGCACAAACGTAAGATTGTGCTCATATCTTTTCCTCCCTCTCCAGTCCCATGTGTCTCACTCTGGGCACATCTGCACCTGTGCTCAATGACTAAGATCCTCACTGAAGTACATCCGTTCTTGTCAAATGATCATCCTTGTGCTGTTTCTTAAAAAGGTAAAAGCAATAAAGTTTTAAATGTTGCCGACGCAGGCGGTTTTACTAATTTCCTTTAAGTGTAAGCACAACAAATTTATTCCAGTATCTTATTAAATAGTCCCAACTCTGGCTAGCATATATTATCATGATTAGTAAGATTAAGCCATCAGACTGGAACAAGACCTATCGCTATTCTCTTACATGTGGCATTTACATTTTTCAATAAATGTGAAATAACAAAGAGTGACACTTCAGCAATTGAAAACATTACGCCACACAACGGGCACACTCGCTTCCAGCTAAATGAAAAAGCTCCTAAGTCTGCATGCAGGATCACATTTCCATTCTAGAGCCCAAGACTAGAGCATTTGCTGCATTATAGCTTGTTAAGTTTTAATTAGAAATGCTTCATGGGGCTCATGGAAAATAGCTTAAGACTTAAGTGTTGGCTTATGGATGTATGGTCTGTTTACTCAGGGCAGATTGTATCTATTGCAACTTCTATTTAACCAACGGTTCAAAAAACAAAAACAAAAATGAGAGAGGTGGGGTTTTTTTGGGTTTTTTTGTTTTTTTTGTTTTTTTGAGCGGTGATTAAAAAGAAAGGACCTATTTGATTAAATGCTCACATCTGAAGTTCATCTCTCCTAAGTTGGACATCAGAACTTCAGCATTTGCAGAGATATTCCTAGATGATAGTTTATTTAACCCAGTGATGAAGATTCATGATAATTAAGGTTTATTCCCGGAACTTGCTGTTTTTTTGAGGTTCTGTTCATGGTTATTAAATTCTGGATTCCTGAAGTGTGAATAACTGCAGGTGTTGCTCCTCATTTGTTCAGTTTTATTTTGGTTCTCATCTTTCACACTACCTTCAAATTCTAAAATGTGGGTTTCGTTCAATGCTTTGTTCTCCGGCAAATAAGAGATTAATTCCTTGCTGTGCTTTGAATATGAAGGTGGAGTTACTGATGCATCAAAGGAAGGGAAATTTTAAAATTTACTTACAGACTTCTGTCATGGTGATGATTTTCAACAACCTAAAGAAAGGTGGTCCTCAAGCTGCCCATCATCCCCATTCCTCCTCCAGTTCCTCCTCACCAGAACTTCTCCTGTGGGCTCCAGGGACGACTAGCACCCTCCCCGGCCAAGGGAGCAGAAGGAAGTCCACCGACCGGCATGGGCCCAAACACATCAACCTCACAAGCTCTCAGCTCACCAGCCGTGACATTCAGCCTCTATGGGGAGGTACTGATGGCATCACTGACAATCTCCCTGAGCAACAACCATGGGCAAAGCCACCATGAGGAGCTTAAGACTTCAAATCACAGGTGACACCCCCTGCCTTCAAAGACAACACTGGACTGGAGAAACAGGGTAAAGAATGTTGATAATAAATACATTGTTGAGCACTCACAAATGACACACATGAGAGCTGTTACGGAATTCAGGGGGAAAGAGAAGTTATCCTATTTTGAGTTGGATGGAAAAGTTTCACAAAGAAATGGGACAATATCTGGGGTTTAAAGAGTAAAATTGGCAAGGAGAATTGGAGGCAAGGATAACAGAGAAGCAAAACCTGGAAGAAAAAAAGTGTTCGCAGTATATTTGTATTAAAAACACCTATTTATGCAGGGCAATAGTGGACTGAAAAGGCAGTTACAGGCTGGAGATTTGGACCAGAAATTTGGATACTGGGATGGTGGATAAAATGAGGGTATTACAAAAGAGACAACTAAAAGCCAAGGGCCAAGTGTTAGTATAGGTCTCCATCAACGGGGATAGAGGGTGGAGTAAGAAAGGGGAAAAAAAAGAAAACAAGACCCATAGAGGAGTGCCTCAAGTCACAGGATCATGTGTTTTTCAAGCTAAGGAAAGGCCTTCAAAAAAGGAGAGGTGATCAAACTTGTGGAGAAAAGACAACCGATCTAGAAATTAGATCACTTGCTGCCTTTGGAGGCAGACTTTATTTAAGTTGTACAGGGGTGGGGGGGGGAGCTCAAGTCAGGTTGCGGTGTGAGGCGTCAGCGAAGCAGTCTGTGGGGGCTGAGGAGATAGAGGCCAGCAGTACAGACTTGGCTGAGACACTGGCCAGTGGAAGGAATGTGAGAAGATGGTCACTTGAGGGGTTTGCACGGTAGAGAGGACATTTTTCAGGGTGAGCAACTCTGCACCTGTTTGTGCACAGCGGAGGAGCGGTCAAGGAGAACGAGAAGGAGAATTGGGAGTCCAGAAGTTCATCTTTTTGATGAAGCAGAATACTGTACAGCGGCAGCTGGAGACTTTGGAGGTCCCAGCATATTAAACAGGGAGACCGTAAAAAGAGCACAAAAACAGGAGCTTGCAGCTGGAATGCTGGAATGATGGAGAAGGCAGCATGAGCCAGTGCCGCAGGGAAGTGGATCAAAGGCTCCTAAGGAAGCGACAAAGGGAGCTCCACGAAGGCTTCAAAACACCATGAAGTGGGCTCCTGGGCAGCTGCAGCTCCGCTGAGCTCTGTGGAGCTGAAGTGGGTGATGGAGGCACCAGCTTGGGTTCTGGCGGCTTCTGCAGCCTGTGGAAGGTGAGCATTCCTGGAGGGCTCCATCTCTTCTGAGCAGAGCAGGGAGCCCGAGGGCTTGGAACCTGCACCCTCTCCCCCTCCCCACCCCGTCCTTCTAAGTGACACTGCTGCCTCCCTAGCCCGGAACTAATTATAACCCCAACTAAACATGTCCTGACACAAGGTCATGTCTAGAAGCAGGGAGCGTGGCCCCGGGGGCTGAGGGCATCGAGTTGCTGCAGTCAAGATGTCTCTACTCCCTTTCTCAAAACTACCCTCAATACAAGAATAAGAGGCATATCTATATGCAATGAAATTGAGAGAGGTTAGTATACGGGAAGGAAATGAAGATGAAGGACTGGTACGTGAATTAGCTAAGAGAGAGATGTATGAGAAGCAAGATGATTTACCTGGCATCGCTCCAGAAAGGCTCAAAGTCTGAAACACTGTGGAAGAAATAGGCAGCTGGGGGCCTGAAAACAGGAATGAGGAGATCCCAGTTTTCCGTTCTTCTGCACAGTGTGGCATTCCTCATTCCTTAGCTCTACAGGGAACTTCGTCTCTCTGATGAAATGGATCCAAAGAGGCTACAGCCTTGGGGACAGCACATATGGAGAAGAGCATGGGTGTGGCATTAGGAGAGTAGATCAGATTCTGCAGAGCAAGAGTGGGACCCCCGGCCTTCCCCAGGCTAGCTGCAGGACTCCATCAGAGCACCTGGCAATAAAGCTCCATCTGCCACAAGCCCTGCCTATGCACATAAAGCTTCCAGACAGCTTTTTAGTGACTCATCCTTGGATATAAAAGAACAGCCAAGAAACACCAGGTATAGGAAGGAAAGCTCCT